GGCGGCAGCCCCAGGAGGGCTGGCGCAGGCGGCGGCGGCGGGCCTGCGGGCGGCGAGCTAGCGGCCAACACGTTCCCCATGGTCGCCTGCGAGGGAAGATGTCCAAGGGCGGAGGTCAGGCCCTGCGCGCCCCGGGCTCAGCCCGAGGCAACCCCGACCCTGCTCTGCACCCCGGTTCTCACTGGCTGCGGCGCCTGCTCCCAGCCTGGGCTCCGCTCCCACCCCGTGCGCGGCGCGCAACCTAAGCCGCTGCTGCCGCCGCCGCCGGCGCCACCGTGGCTCCGCCCCACCCAGCCCATTGGTTCAGTGTGCCCTGGGGTCCACCCACCGCCCTGCGGGTCCGGCCTTTCTATTGGAGTTATGGCTGGAAGTTCCACCCATCCCTCTCGAACTTCTTTTCTATTGGGTTCTACACGCAAGGGGTAAGGCAGGACTCCTCGCTCTTTCCGTTGGCTCGCAGTGCCTTCGCCTATTGGCTCGTGGCGCCGCGGGTTCTGGTGCTATCTCATCATTGGCCTGTGAGAAGAACTTTGCAACGCCCATTGACACGATGCCCCGCCCCTTCCTGAGGAGCCCTCTCTTTTGACTCCGCCCCATGGCACACGCCGTGATAAGTGGTCGGTCTTGGCCCTTGAAGCATCCTGATTGGTTTTGGGTTGTAGAGGGGTCAACCTCGGTGACGTAAAAGCTTAGCTCTCTTATTGGCTAACGTGCTAGGGTCAAAGGATACAGGTAAAGATGGGTTGCACGGCAGGGGCTGCTAGGCAGCAAGGTCAGGCCTCGCGTCCCACCAAGCATCGCGGCGGGGAAGGCACCCTCTCTGGTCCGGACCGAAAACCGGAAGTGCTGGTTTTTCCCACAGTGCCTCGGGAAAAGTCCAACCAGTTCTACGAACCCTGCTCGGCTTCTTGTTACCCATAATGCCCTCATCACCTCAACGCAACTGTAGCCTTAGACCCACCCCCTCGTTACCCATCATGCCGTCGGCTCCCGCGTCACTGCGGCTTCTATCTCTGGCCCATTCATTCCTGGCCCATTACCCAGCATGCACTCGCCCCATTCATTTAGGCTTCATTGCTTCTGAACTACCGTTAGCCCGTAGCCGCCGGCTCACACTCATCATTTTCCCGGCCTTTCTCTAATTAAGCATCATGCCTCGGGTCCATTAACTCTGGCCATTACCCGTCATGCTCGCGGCCCCTATTTCTCCATTACTCATCGCTCTGCCTCTGGCTGATTCATTTAGATACATTACCCACCAAGCCTTCGGCTCCTATTAAAACATTGTGCATGATTTTGCTTTTATCCTACCCCTCCTTGCCATTTATCCATTAAATCTGAGTTCCTCTTACCTAATTATCTGGGACATTTATTTCTGTGCTTTGCCTATTAGACTGTTGCACAAATTCATTTTCGTTACTACCGTGCATAACTCCCGAGTGCTCGCCGCCCCCTTCCATTGCCCGTCACTTTTTGGTTAACACACCTTTGCTTATTACTGTCACTGATTTTCTCTTTCTTTCCCTTGTACGTGTGGTCCCTTTTACTTCTGTCTGTAACCCATTTTGACTTCTAGTTCACTGGTTCTGAAGCTCTGGAACCCTGTTCAGTGCCTTCACGTCCTACCCCGACCCTCTTCACATCCCACAGAACGCACAAGGTGTGGTCGAAGTATAAACTCGTATTTTGTAGGAAATTCTAGATTACAAAACAATATCATAGCCCGCACCCCCAACCCAGTGACCCACTTTTCTCCAAAGGGGGATGTTTCGTTCTCAGCCCAGTGGGCAGAGATCAGAGGGTTCAGTAGTCTTCAAAGTAACAGCCAACTCTCCACCTACAGCTGGGCGGCCAAGGCAAAGGCAGGAAGCTTTCCTTTTAGCACTGGGCTGGAGCTCACGCTCTGAGATGGTGGTTTTTGAGGGGGGTAGGGGCGTGCCGGGAATCAAACTCACGACCTCGTGCTTGCCAGGCAGGTGCTTGCACCACTGAGCTATATCCCCGGCCCTGGAGCTCATCCTCTGTGCAAAGGAATTGGGTGGTGGGACTCAGGGAAGGGCTTGGACCCTGAGACTCCTGCCCGCAGGAGGGGGAGAGAGGAAAGCTCGGCCTAAGGCTGGGAATCCCCTTCCCTCCCACCTTTGGGGAGCAGGGAGGAGACAAAGAGGCCCTGCTGCCTGGAGGGCTCAAGTCTGAGCAGCAGAGAACCCCTAAATGCCTGTGCTTTCAGACCTGTCAGGACTTACTGCCTGAGGATAAATCAGAGGTCTGGAGTCTTTGGGATTTCTGGAGGAGCTGAGATGTGGGCCAGCCAGAAGCGAGTGCTATGGTCTAAGGTCACGGTTTGAGAAAGGTGTCCTGGGGTCAGAGGTTGTGCAGAAACATCCTGTCTACCCCCTGCCTCACGAGGTAAAGTTACCAGGCTTCCACTATCTTGGCAAGTTTCTCTGGGTCCGAGATCATGCGTTAGAGGTCACCCTGGAGCCACTAAGGTAGAAGTCACAGATGACCGCCCATGTGTTAACTGACAGGGGCTTGGCCAGATGACAGGGGGCGCCAGGTCCCTAACAAAAATATAAGGGATCAAAGATGATAGGCGAGAGGCCAGAGGCCTCACACATACATGGCCCGGGATACAATGAAGCCTTGGTCCTGGTAGGAACCAGAGGGGCTGTTATAGGATAGGGCATCGTAGACGGGGTTGATCTTGTCCAGATAGTTTTCCTCTGTCTCCTCCTCTTCCTCGTCTTCTAGATCCAGGGAAACCCCTTCCATGCAGTTTGGCCCCACCGGCACAAGGGGGGGCGTTAGGCTTGTGGCCCCCAGCAGCAGAGGCCCTGACCTCTCTTCCAAGGTGGGCAACTCATGGTATCGAGGCATTTCCTGGAGCGGGGAGAGCGGGGAACTCAAATTCATCTCCTGGGTGTGACACAGCCCCGACCTGCTCTTGAGCCGGAAGTCCTGCCCACCCCTCCGCATGCCAGTCAGACCCAGCTTCACCCCGCCCCTCCCGAGTCAACACTGCACTGGGGACTGCCACACAGCCTGTCTCTAACCCAAAACCCACATCATGTTCTTCACCCTGTCATTCCTGGGCCTCACCTTTGTGCCTTCTTCCCCAAGTCTTTTACCTATGAACATCTGATCTCAATCTTCACTTCAACTGTTTAACCTTGAACCTTTTTTTTTTTTTTGGTCTTTTTGAGACAGGGTCTCACTATGCAGTTCAGGCTGTCCTTGAGCTCACTTTGTAGCCCAGGCTGGTCTCAAACTCACAATGATCCTCCTGCCTCAGCCTCCCAAGTGCTGGAATTACAGGAGTGCGCCACCACGCCTGGCCTTAACCTTGAACCTTAATCAGCCCCTTGAACGGAGACATCACAGCCTAAGTATCCTGACCTTCAGTGGTGGCTGTGTTCTTGCCTCCCTGCTCCAGGCTCAGCTGACAAATATCACTGCCACGCCGATCTTCACTGACCCAGTGGCTTTGACTGAGAGTCCCTGGACTTTTTGTTCCTGGTCTCCCACCCTGAATCCTGAACACAGCTCATTATTCTGACAGCTGACCTTGAGAGGTGACCTTTGTTCTCTGAGGCTTGGCCCCTTCAACCCCCATACCACCCCCACCCACCATCCCCTGAGCTCCTACCTGCTCAGTACACGAGACGCCAGCATCAAAATAAGGGGTCTTGAGCGGGCTGTGCTCCGAGGCTCCCAGAGTGAAGAGCTGGGAGGGCTGCGGCAGGAGGGGAGGGCAGGTCAGGAACCCCCATCAGCCTCTCCCGCGAGCCCCACTCCCACCCTGGCCTGGGGTGGAGGTTTGGCTCCTGGGCTTGGGCTCAGGGAAGGGCTCACCATCTCCGGCTCCTCCAGCTTCGCCTTCACTTTTGGGGTGGGTGGCTGGTAGGAGGGTGGTCCTTCCATGCTGTGGGGTAGGAGGTAGGTGAAGCAGAGGCTGAACCCCAAGAATGCTTCCCCACCTTGCCCAGGATTAGGGAGCTGCTGCTCTCTGAGTCTGGACCTCCCTTTCTGCAGCCCTGCCTCCAGCCTGGCGGGCTCCTATTCATCCCTCTTCTCCCGGGAAGAGCCCCAGATTCTCTCGAGGGATCAGGAATTCCTGTCACTCCAGCCCCTCGGGTGCTGCTGAGCTTGTGAGTGTATCCTTCTGTTAGAGAGCTGGCTGTGAGCTCTGTGGGGCAGAGAATGAGGCCACAGTTGTCCAGACAGAGTCCCCGGAACCCATCCTGAAGAACGTGGAGGACGCCTGTGCATGCGGAACAGGGCAGCCCTCGCCTGTCAGACCCCACCGAGGCCTCAGTCCCTCGTTCTACACCTCAAGGACCAGTGCGCCCAGGGACGCGACTGCGCCTTTACTCGGCCCCCTTCATCGTCTCTGTCCCTCAGGCTGGGTCACGGGCGCATCTGGCCTCTCAAAGCCCCTCTGCCTCGATGGCCACGCCGGGCCGGTGCTGTCTCCCCGGTCTCGGCAGCCTGGGGCGTGGCACTGGGTTGGTAATGCAGGAGACAGCAGCAGGCTGCAGGTTTACATCCCCCGGGCATGAGAAAACTTGGGGAGTCTTTCACAGGGGGGCAGGTCTTGGTGCTTAAATACCCAGAGCCTCCCATGGTAGGCCAAGTATTCTACCCCTGAGCTATATCCCCAGCCCTTTTTATTTGTATTTTTTAAAATTTTAGGCAGGATGTTGCTACGTTGCCTATGCTGTTGAACTTGCAATCCTCCTGCCTCGGCCTCCAGAGTAGCTGGGATTATAGGTGGGAGCCTGTTATACATACAGACTGATTCACTGAGGGACAGGCCCAGCAAGGTGCATTTTTAGTGAGTGCCCCCCTCCTTCCCACCATGATGTTATCTGAGGAAGCTCTGGCCACAAACATAAAAACACTTGGTGGGGGCCAGGGATACAGCTCAGCGGTACAGTGTCTGCCTGGCAAGCGCAAGGTCCTGAGTTCGATTCCTGGTACAAAAACAAAAAACCAAAAAAACCCCAACCAATCAAACAACCAAAAAAAAACACTTGATGGGTGAATTTTAGCAAGAGATTTCAAGCCGGGCAAGGTGGCGCTTGCCTGTAATCCCAGCACTTGGGAGGCTAAGGCAGAAGGATTGTTACAAGTCTGGGCTACAAAGTGAGTTCAAGGCCAGTCTGAACTGCACAGTAAAACTGTCTCAAAAAGACAGACAGACAGATAGAGAGAGAGAGAGAGAGAGAGAGAGAGAGGGAGAGAGAGGGAGAGAGATTTCAGCTCTCTGGATCAGTTTCCTCTTATAAAATGGGTACTGTCAGTTCCTTCTCAGAACTTACGTTTCCATGATACTTTCACTTGTGTGGGCCCTTCCTTCTCCCCTCCCCTCCCTTCTGCGCTCCTCTTCCATTTCATCCTGGGGACTGAGCCGAGGGCCTTTGCACTGAGCTACATATCCAGCTCTTTTCATTTCAAGATAGGGTCTTGATAAATTGCCCAGGTGTGATTTAAATTTGAAATCTACCTGCCTCAGCCTCCCAGTACTGGGATTATAGATCTATTATAGATGACAGCCACACTTAGCTGTCACTTGTCTTCTTGTAAATGTTTGTCTCATCCTTGTGTCTCTAACTTCCAGGACTAGTAATTCTGAATCCTTGTTGAATCAGAGATGAGGTGTGGGGCCTCCTTGAAGTCACACATAGAAAGTGCATCTCACCAAGCCTAGCACCTCAGTGCTCTACAGAGAGGTGTGGCTGGATTCCTCCCACGTTCAGACTCCCTTCCCCTAACAGTGGGGATTTGAGGTGGGCACATGGCCGCACAGAATAAAGACTACATTTCCCACGGGTGTGATGGCGCACACCTGTCATCCCAGCGCAGGAGGACTGCTGTGAGTCCGAGGCCAGCCTGAACTACGTAGTGAGACCCTGTCTCAAAAAACCAAAGCCAAATAGAAAACCTTGTAGCTGGGACAACCGGGTGACTAGGTCCTGGCTGAAGGGAGACGAGAAGTGATAGATAACGGGTCAGCTATTTCTTTACAGGGAGTCAACCGCCCCATAGTTCCCTCCTTTCACCCCGGGGGGTGCAGGTGAAAAGCCAGGATGGCTGGGCTGGGGCGCAGAGCTTGATGGAAGATGGGCGCCATCTTGGAATGTGAACAAGGCCAGCTTCCGGGGAAGGGTGAGCCTGGCTTTTGATGGCTTCCCGGGTCACAGTTGTCACATCCATACTTCACGGGAGGAAAAACCTTTTCTCCCCATCTGACGCCAGCCTTGTTATTTGGGTGTTTGGTTCCCGGCCATTCTGCATGGTTTTCTCCACTCCCCCCAGGGGTCCCCAGTTCTGCCACCCCTCCCCAGCCACTTCTCAGGACCCGCCACTCACTCATCCTCCTCCTCCTCGGCCCCCTGCAGCCTCTGCTCCTTCCGCTGCTGCCGGCAGATGAGGACACCCGTGGCAGCCACTGCAGTGGCAATGATGGCGGCGATGATACCCCCGATAATGCCTCCGGTGGCACCCGCACCTGCCGTGTTGGGTGTCTCTGCAAGGACAAGGACGGGGTGAGGGGTCTTTGGCAGGAAGCTCCTCATTCGCAGCCCCTCCTGCCTACCTCCCTTCCCATTCAGCTAACCCTCGAGGGGCACGGGCCGTGGGAGATCGCGTGAACCGCCCATGGCATCTCCACCCTCATGGAATTTAGGTTCTGCGGGGTGGGAAGGCTGATAGCAAACAAACACATGGGACATCTCACCTGTCAGGTGGGACTCAGCGGTAAAGAATAAAAACATGGAGTGGGGAGGGGGATAAGAAAGTGCAGACCCCCAAAGGTAGATGGGGTTTGCTGTGTGTGGACATTTGATCAGAGACCTGAGGGAGATGCGGAAGACAGCTGTTGATGTAACTGACAGAGGGCACAGCTGGTGCAAGGGTCCTGAGGCAGGATCACATGGTTTGCAAGGAGCAGCAAGGAAAGCATGGGGGCTGGAGCAGGGTGAAGAGGCAGGAAATGAAGGGAGGACATAGAGGGTTAGCTGAGAGGTGGAGAACTGGGCGGAGATTTGGGCCTGAGAAACTGAGTCCCTCATCATGATAGGACTGACTTGGAGCAGCTCCCACCTCTGCTTCTCCCACCTGCCTCTCCTCAGGGAGCAGTGGCCGGTTTACTTAGCTGCTGCCCCACCGACTCCAAGGCCCCCGGCCAGGCGCACAGTAGGTTTTTGCTAGATGTCTAAGGAGGGCAGCACGGCTGCTTGGGGACGGACTGTGCGGCAGACAGACAACGCCCCCAACCCGGCCCTGCTTCCCAGCCCGGGGATGAGGCGGGCAGAGAAAGTACAGGGGCGAGAGAGGCCCCAGGTGGCCCCACCCACTCCACCATCCAGAGGAGGAGGGCAAGCTCCCAGGAGAAGCGGTCTGCTCCCTACTTCCAGCTTTGGGCCCCAGCCGCCTTCCTTCCTCTACAGGGCTTCAGACTGTAAGGGTCACAGTGGTGGAGCTCAGCCTTCGCGCCGTCATCCTGGACACGGGCTCTTCCTGTCGTCCTCGCCACAGGCACAGAGATGGCACTGCTCGATCCGTCAGGGCTCCACGGCGTCCCCAGCCTGGGCTGGTCCCGCGCTGCACGGAGCACGTGTAAGTCGGGCTGGCTGACGAGACGCGCGGATCCAGCCCCTGGTGCTGAGGTCACTGGGACCCTGGAGTCCATCACAGGCAGGTCCCCCAGGCACCGGAGTCCCCCAGGGCGTCTCTGCACTGGAGCCCCCTCCTCCTGCTTGACGCAGATCAAAGGTGGCCCCGTGTTCCAGGAGGCCCGGGAGGCTCAGGACCAGAGGCTTGGGTGGGTCACAACCAGTTCTTCCCTCTGCCTAAGCTGTCCCGGTCCTCGGTTCTGCAGCTGGGTGCAGTGGGGATGTGCCTGAAATCACCCACAATCCCCTGGGGCTTGGGGCAGGGGGGAGGAGGGAGGCTGGGAGGGGCCCCTGGATGATATGTGGGGGGGCTCTCCCGGCATCCCCAGCTCCACGCCTGTCCCACAACCCACGAACGGAACATGGTGAGCAGCCCTCCCTTCCCGAGGTCCTCAGCAGCCTAGAGGAGGTCTGGCCTGCACTGTGTGAGGATCAGACGGCAGCCTTTGCCCTCCCAGGAAAGCAGGGGCCTGGCCCCTGCCGCCCCCACTGTAGGGCCCTAGGTCTCCCTGGGGAACCCTGGGCTCCAGTCTGACCCCTGTACCTCTGTCCTGGGTCCCAGGAGCCAGACACCCCAGTCCTTGTAAGCCCCAGAGCCATCGACCCAATTCCTACTGCCAATAACCTCAGGGCTCTGGGGCACCCAAGTGGGTGCCCAGTTGGGTCCTTCCTCAGCCCCAGGATGAGCAGTCCCTGTCCATCTGCTCTTTCCCAGGACCGGAGAGGGGTCTGATGTATTACAGGACACCCTGAGGTTTTCTTCCAAGGCATTTATTAACTCCTGAGTGCCACAGGGCCAGGGGCAGGCTGGGGCCGCACGAGTCTCTGCGGGGTCCTCTCTGGTTCTCGCATCTGTCTGAGCTCCCCACTTCCCATGCAGCCCTGGAGGCGGAGACGTCCAGTGTGTGACTCCACCTCCCTCAGCCCAAGATAAAGATCGAGAAGTGACATCTAGCTTGTCAGCCTGGGCTGGCCGGACAGACCCGGACGGACCCGTCCAACCAGTCTGCGGCCCTCCTGGCTGCGGCTGGGGCAGGAGGCTGTGTCTCTATCCCGTGTCTCTGGGTCACACGTGTGTCTCTGGGTCACACATAAACTGCCCGCCGCGAGATGAGGGAGCCATCCAGGTGCGACTCCATGTCGTCCTTCAGCGAGGAAGACGGAGGCAACATGAGGCCTTCCTCTGGCTTCTCCTCTTCTTCTTCTTCCTCCTCTTCCTCCTCCTTGCCGTCCGGCCTCAAGGGACCGGGCGCTGTGGGCGTCCAGAACACAGGGCCTCCGTTCCCAAACATCTGCGTTTTCCCATCATTCGATCCCCTGTCGCCATCCCGGCCGCCGCTGCCGCCTCCTGCTCCTCCAGGGCTCTTCCTCCTCCTCCTCCTCCTCAGCAGGAGGAAGGCGATGGACCCCCCAGCCAGGAGGAGCAACACCAGCAGCACCCCGCCCACAGCCCCCCACACCAGCGGACCTGCATCTCGGGAAGACGCCTGGGGGGTGTCTGAGGAGAGAGAGGAAGGGGAGAGAGAAAGAGAGAAAGAGAGAGAGGTCAAGAGGGTGTGTCTGGGGTGAGGCACGCAGGACCAGGGGTTAGTGACAGAGCTGGGGAGGTGACTGCGAGGACAGTGGAGGAGGGGCGATGCCACCGAGCAGGGGCTCCCAGATCCGGCTCCGCGCCTGCACCGCTCCTCAACCAATCAGATGGCTGCGCTGCAGCTGGGCCCAGGCACAGGGCTCGCCCAGCACGCACGAGGCCCTGGGTCCCATCCCCAGCACCGAAAAAGAGAAAATAAAACTGAAATTGCTGGCCAACATTTCATTTTCTCCCCCCAACATTTCAAATCCAGGCAATTTCACTTAAAAATTCAGATTTTTGTGTGGTATGGGGACTGAGCCCAGGGCCTTCTCACCAAGCTACAGCGCCAGTCCTTTTGTAGTTTTGAGTTTATTCTTACTCAGTTACCCAACCTGGACTTCAAGTTGCAACTTCCCGCCTCAGCCTCCCAGAGTGCTGGGATTATATGGAGTTCAGCTTCAGATTTCTTTTAAGATGCGGAAACATTAGGTGGGTCAACACAGGACTCCTCCCCATGGGTGACTGCAGCTCAGGGGGCGGGGTTTCTCCAGACTCCCTGAGGCAGAGGCAGGGTCCCAGCAAGGGTGTGAGGCTCTCTAGAAGGGTGAGGCCCCCAAAGTGCAGGGTAGGGCAGTGCAAGGCTTCCCTGCCTCCTCTCGGGCCTTACCGCCCTGATTTCTCCACAGTGGCTGAGTGGGTGGCGGAGAGGAAGCCAGGGAGTGCCAGGAGGGACAGGGTGGATCCCCTCGTGCTGCTCTGGAGCTGCCCACAGCCCCTCCCCTACCTCTGTGAGCCCGGAGCTGGGGCCTCGACCCTGCACACCTGCACAAGGAGGGGCCGGCTTGCGGGCTCCTGAGGGCCTCTGTTTCTAGTCATCTCTTTCTTTCTTATGTGTATTGTTTGGAGACAGGGTCTTGCTATGTTGCCCAGGTTGGCCTTGAGCTTCTGGGCTCAAGTGATCCTTCTCCTGCCTCAGCTTTCCCAAGCGGTTGGGATTAGAAGCTTGAACCATTATCTACAGCATAATGTATTTTATTTATTTATTTTTGGTTGTTTTGAGACAAGGTCTCACTATACTCCAGGCTGGCCTGGAACTCACAGTGATCCTCCTGCCTCAGCCTCCCAAGTGCTGAGATTACAGGTGTGTGCCATAGGCAGTTGCCTGACTTTACAGCATACTTTAGAATGAATGATGTCTTCAACTGTGTGTGTGTGTGTGTGTGTGTGTGTGTGTGTGGTGCTGGGGATGGACACTAGGGCCTCATGCATGCTAAGCAAGCTCTCTGTCCCTGGGCCACACTTCTAGCCCTACGATAGTGTTTTCAAATAAGCGATCATGATTCAGCATACTGTAAGATGTTTGGTGATCTTCAAACAGCATTGAAAAAAAAAAAAGAAAAGAAAAAGGCCGGGCATGGTGGCGCACACCTGTAATCTTAGCACTTGGGAGGCTGAGGCAGGAGGATTGCTGGGCCCACCCTGGCTACACAGTGAGTTCAGAACCAGCCTAAACCACATAGCAAAAGTATCTCAAAAATCTGAAAAAAAAAAAAAAAAGAAAAGAAAAAGAGGACAGAAACTTTTGGCTGGGAGGGGGCATAAAACCAGGTCTCCCACATGCTCAGGATCAAGAATACTTCTGTATGGAAATGTACAGATTGTTTTCCTTAGCAATACTGCATAATACCTATTTTCACAGAATCTGCACTGGATTAGGTCTGGGAAATCATCTGGAGATAGTTTAGCGTCTACAGGAGGAGGTATATGGGGGTCTATGCAAATACCATTTTGGAAAAGATCTAGTCCCCACGTGTGGCGCATACCTGTAATCCTAGCGCTGGGGAGGCTGAGGCAGGAGGATTAGAGTGAGTTTGAGAACAGCCTGGGCTACATAATGAGTTCAAAACCACCTTAAACTGCATAATAAGACCCTCTCTCAAAAGAAAAAGAAAGAAAGGAAAAGTCCAGTCCACACAGACATAGAAGTCCACTGTCTGTCTATACCTACGCACTGGGTTGAGGCGGCGAACAGGTTTCTTAGTGGGAATTCGGCTCAGCAGCACCTGTAGGACGTGCTGCTTTGGACCTGAGGTCTGAGTCTGCTCACGGGTCTGTGGGCCCAATGTGCTGAGGCTCTCTGAAGAGACATCTGTCCAAAGGCACAGATAATGGGCTGGTGTTTGCCTTGGTGTGAGCCCCAGATCGTGTTTCATGACAGCGTGTGCATCTGCATCTGTGTGTGTGTCTGGGACTGAGGATCAGCGTCCTGAGACCTGTTTCCTGGTGTGGCTGGGTGTCTAGCCCACAGCTGGCTTCTGGGACCACCACTGCCCTGCTGCGGTCCCACATGCCCATGTGGGTGGTGTGGGGGCCGCCCCTGAGGCTGTACTAAGAGTGGCTCTTTCTAGGTTCGTGTGGCTCTCCAGGGCTCTGGCCAGCGTCACTGGCTTTGTTCCGTGTGTCTTGGCCGGAGCTGCTCTCTCCTGGGTGTGTGTCTTGGTGACAATGGTCTGTGTGTGTAGGGTTACACTGGGTCAGAGGCTGTCTGGATTCCCACGCTTCTCCGTGACAGGACTCCTGGCCCTGGTGTCTCTGCAGGTCGGGTCCTGCTGGCTGTGGTTCTGACCCCAGGGCCCGCTGCGCCTAGCTTGGGGCCAAGTGTCACGGGAGCTGTCTAAGTGCTGCTTCCCAGCAGGTGGGCCCAGGCTGGATCCTGCCTATCCCGCCGCCTGTGACTTGGGGCTCAGCTGGGCTTCTGAGTGGGGTGCGGGGAGCTGGAGATTTTGTCTCTCAGGCTCTGTGACCCTGGGACGTGTCACTGAGTGTCCTGGGATTCTCTGTGCATGCCCAGCACTGGCCTTGACCTCCTTACTCCTATGCTCGTCCTGCCCCGGTGCCCGAGCCCAGTCCCAGGCGGGGGCCAAGGGAGGAGTGACACCATGCTCCTGTGTCAGCCAGGCGGTCAGTGTCTCCGGCCCTGGCGCAGCCCCAGACCTGAGGGAGAACGACTAGGGGAAGACGGGGCTCTGTACACCCAGCCCTGACCCGCTTACCTCGGACCAAGACGACCTGCTCGGCACGGCCTGTGCCCACAGCGTTGGTGACTGTGCAGATGAAGGTGGTGTTGACCAGGCGGTCCACTGAGTGGACAAGCAGCTGGGGGCCCTTGACCACTGCGGAGGCTGGGAAGGTGCCTGAAGGCCTGGGTGTGGGGTGAAGGGAAGGAACAGCAGGCTCACAGTGGGGAAGAGGCCAGTGCTGATGACACACGCTTGGAGCCCAACGCCAGGGCCTGGACTCACCCTGGAGACCTTAGATGCCGGCCCACCTCCCTCACCCCCAGGACAAGGAGGCATTTCTCTCCGATCAGCCCCAGGGTCCAGGCCCAGCCTCCTCCCTCAGACTCAGGAAAGAGTTTGAGACCCAAGAATTTGAAACCTCCAGTCCTCCTTCCTGAGCCCCAGGAGTCTTGGTCCTGGCCCCTTCTACCTCAGACCGGGGTCTGGTCCCCTGCACTCACGTGCTCCAGTCGTAGCCTGTGGGCTCTGGGTTGCTGCGGACATCACAGTGCAGGGTGGCCTCGCTGCGGCCAAGGTACCAGTTGTCATCATAGCCGGAGATGGAAACCTCGGGCGGGTCTGGGGGAAACAGACGCACAGGCTCTGGGATGGAGAATCCCCGCGGGGTGGGCAGCTTAGCAGCTGGACAGGAATTCTAAAACATGCTAGGTGGCTAGAGACACACAGGATGAAATGGTTTGGGGCATTCTGTGTGTGCGGAGGCGGGTGTAGACCCCGTCCAGAAAAGCCACTACAGACAGCTCCTTTTGTCTGCTTGTTTCTGCAGGAGGGGATGCTGAATTAGTGGTCCTCCTGTCTCAGCCTCCCAGAGTGTTGGGATGACAGGCATGTGCCATTGTGGCCAACTTTTAGGGCTTATCCCTGAGGGCAGGCAGTGCTGAGAGGTGGTATGCAGGTGTGTCTGTGTGGGAGACGCGTGGTATCTGTGACATGCGCAGAGTAGAGGAAATGGGAAAGAGGATTTCAAACAAGTGTCTGGGAGGGAAGCGGTACAGACCAGGCTCTGGGAGCCAGTGAAGATCAGGCTTGGGGCCTCAGTGCACACAGAGGAATTGCCTGGGGTGGGGGTGCCCAACACTGAGCTGGGCACAGGGTGACCGGGGCAGTTTGCACTCGCCAGGCTTCCAGTAAAGAGTGCTGGAAGGCCAGGTGTGGAGTCCTAACTAATTGGGAGGCTGAGGCAGGAGGATGGCAAGTTTGAGCCCAGCCTGGGCAACCTTGTGAGACACTGTCTCAAAATAAAAAACAAACAGGGCTAGGGATGTAGCTCAGGGGTCCATCACCTCTGGGTTTGATCCCCAGTATCAAAAAACCAGAGCTGGGTGTGGTGGCGCATGCCTGTAATCCCAGCACTTAGGAGGCTGAGGCAGGAGGATCGTTGTGAGTTCGAGACCAGCCTGGGCTACAAAATGCATTCAAGGCCAGCCTGAACTGCATAGTGAGACCCTGTCTCAAAAAGACAAAAACAAAAACAAAAACAAAAACAGCGCTGGGAGGTGTCCCAGGGTGACAATAAGGGGTGTTGTCACAGGCAGTTCCTGGAGGAGCTGGCCTAGGGGGCACCGTGGAGGCCAGAAGCAGTAAGGCCCAGAGCCTGTGGGGGGAGTCTGTGTAGACACACCAGGGCGGTCCGTATAGACCTGTCTGGGGCAAGACAGTGCTGAGATGGGCAATGTAGACCACAGCCCGGGGGAGTTGATAAGGTCAGCCAGGAAGCAGAACCTGGCAGCCGGCATCTGCCATTTTCCTAGGGGGTCACGAACCCCCACCGGTGTCCACTGCCAGCAAGATGTCACTGGACGCAGAATTAGGAAAAAATGTTGCAAAGTGGCTCTTTCTGTTTTGTTTTTGAGACACGGTACCTCTACGTAGCCCAGACTGGGCTTGCACTCAGGATCCTCCTGCCTCAGCCTCCTGAGTGACGGGATTACAGGTGTTCGATACCACCCATGGTGTAGATTGGCTCATCCCAGCTGACCAGTGATGGGGCAGCGTGGCAGAAGCCCAGTGAAGCCAGAGAGGATGACGAGGGGCGGGCGTGTAGGTACTGCCTGTGGGAGCCAGTGTAGACAGCGAACCGGAGATAGTGCAGAACGTGGCTCCCGGGAGCCGCGCAGACCATGCTTTGGGGACAGTGGGGACAGTATGGGTGGCGTGGGGTCACCCGGAACACTCACAGCGCACAGAGAGGGTCACGGGCAGCAGCATGGGCTCCTGGAAGCTCTCGTGATCCACCTTGCAGGTGATTTTGACGCCATCCGTTCGGCCCAGGGGCACCATGGTGTAGCGGCTGGTGACAGTGACCGTGCCTGGTTGGAGTCCTGGCTCCTGGCTGTCTCTGGCCTCCCCGTCCAGGGCTGAGATCCAGGTGATCTGCGCAGCTGGGCGGCCCCCCACGGACACACAGCGGGCCACCGGGACAGGGTCCAGGCTGAGGGTGACCTCCTGGGCTTCCGCATGGTTCTGGGGCTGGGCTGGGGAGAATACGGGGGCGGCTCACTCCTGTGTCGCAGTCGCTGAACAAACCCTTCCCAGGGAGCAGGGCAGTCGGGCCCCACCGCTTGGGCTCGACCCCGGCTCTGCTGTCCGCAGCTGGGCAGCTTTGGCCAGTCACTTCACCACTCTGTACCTCAGCTTCCTCATGTCAGAGGGAGACAACAAATGTCCCGCCCCACGTACGACTACAGTCCCAGCACTCTGGGAGGCTGAGGCAGGAGGATCACTGTGAATTCAAGGCCAGCCTGGGCTACATAGCAAGACCCTGCCTCAAAAAGCAAAACCAATCAAACAAACAAAGTCCCCACCCTAAGGGACTGTCATGGACATCCAAGAAATTGACCTATCTGGGCTTAGGTTGGGGCCTGGCACACGCAATACTACTTGAGTGTTGCCCATTCTGCCATGTGGGCCCTCCCCTCAGCTCCCATTGCGGGACAATGGCCCAGTGTGGCCGTTTATCTCTTTTTCACTCAACCCTCTTGGAAAGCACAGGAAAGTCCTGAGGAGAGGAGGAAGGCGGAGTCTCCAAGAGGAGCAGCAACCCAGACTGAGCCCTGGGCCCTTAACCCTGGTTGTTCCCAGCGCTCTGACTGGCCTCTCCAGCTACCTCTGGGCCTGTCCCCGGCCCCCAGGGCTCTGTGTTGTGCATGTACCCCGAACGCCCTGCAGAGCCTCTGAGGTCCACGGTCGGCCGGACGCTGTGAGCCCAGGGAGCTGGCGTGGGCCGCCCTCGGCTGACAGTGCGGGCTCATGCCACCCACACTGGCCTCGGTCCCCTCTCCTGCCCAGTGCGGGGTCCCAGATGCCAGCCCAAGCCTCGCTTCCTCAAGGGGACATCCCTGTGCTCTGTTCAGCTTCCCTGTAGTGTCTGAGGGGTCATCTGTTCCCCCTGGAAGACAGAGGCTGTTTTCCTCTCAGTACCTACAGTGCCTGGTACCTGGTAGTTTTTTATTTGTTTGTTTGTTTCTGAGACAAGGTCTTGCTATGCAGTTCAGGCTGGTCTCAAACTCACAGTAATCTTCCCACCTCAGCCTCCCAGGTGCTTTCCTGCCTCAGAGAGGGCTCCCCTAGTCTCCACCCACCAGCCGCCATCCATTCCTGGACCACATGGGGCTGGTGCCCACCTCCAGGTTCCTGCGTGTGCTGCACCCTCTGCTTGTGTCCAGGACTCACTGGACCTGCGCCAGGGCCCACTTCCCTTTCTTTCCACCACTGCCTGTGCTGTGGTTTCCCAGCCTCCGCCTCCCGCTCTCCACAGTCCCTGGCTGACTGGTCCCTCCCACTCACCACCCATGTAGCTTCTGTTCTCAGGACAAAACTGAAGTCTTCACTCAGATTGCAAGGTGGTGCATGATCGTCCCCCATCAGCCCGTGACTCTACTGCCTCCATTCGTTCCACCCTCCTCTCACACATCTATCCCTTCCTTCCTCCCTCCCTCTCTTCCTTCCTTCCAGATATGTCCTGCCACAGGGCCTTTGCATGCACCCTTCCCACTGCCCAGATCTCTCCTCTCTTAGATACCTACAAGGCTCCATGCCCTCCTTTCAGTTTTAGTTTAGGAATTACCAGACCTCCCTAGCTAAGACTACAACCTGTTCCTGTCAACTTCCACAGTGCCTAGAACTGCCTGCCTTATACTCTGTTTTTTTTTTATACTCTGTTTTTTAATATTTATTTACTCATTTGGTCCTGGAGATTGAGCTCAGGACCTTTGCACTAAGCCACACCCCTCCCTGCCCTTTATTTTTTTATTTTGAGACAGGTTCTCACTAAATTGCCTGGGGTGACCTCAAACTTGGGATCCACCTGCCTCAGCCTCCCAAGGCTGGCGGAACCATGCCCAGCTTCTTATTTACATTATTTACATACTCTCTGGCGCCCCCTGACTGGAGCGTGAGCTCCAGGAGGGCAGGGAGTTCTGTCTGTGTGTGTCATCCTGAAAACCTAGGAAAGCACCTGGTAGTGGGAAAATGTGCTGAGCGTACACTGTCGCCTGTTGTATCTTCAGCACCCAGAGAAGCACCTGGTGCGCAGTAGGTGCTTAACGAATGCCTGCCAACTGAGCGATGTCACCGGGAGAGCCCCTTTCACTGCCAGGACAGAGAGATGGATGGGGAGCGCTGCTCCTGCCAAGGCCCCACTGCTCACCGAGGACTCGGAGCCAGGTCACCCCCGAGCGGGTGCCCTTCGGGAAGGTGGCAAACTCGCAGGTGTAGTTGCCCTCGTCCTCCAGGCGCAGGTCTCGGATGGCGAGCGTGGCGTCGTACAGGTTGGTCTTGGCGCCCTGGCCAGCTCTGACGAAGGCCAGGCGCTCCTGGCTGGCCTGCTGGTTGGGGAAGTGGGTGCCGAAGTTGGGGTGGAAGGCGGCCACGGAGACTCCGTTCAGGCGGTGCCAGGTCACCTGCGTGACGTTCACGTCCTGGGTGTGTGGCAGCAGGTGACACGGCAGCTCCACGGTGTTACCCATCTGGCCCTGCACCTCAGGGAGCACTTGGACCTGCATATCCTGGGCTCCTGAGGGGAGAGGAAGGCAAGGCTGGGGGGACAGAGACCTCCAGGCCAGGCGGGACTGGCGGGGAGATCTAGGCCAAGGACAAGGGATGCATGCTCACAACGGCGTCTCAAGGTGGGAGGAGCCGGCTGGAAAGGTCATTTTGGGGACAACTAGGGAAATCCAAGTCTGGGCCGGTGAACAGGAAGACACAAACTCTGACTGCATCCTCCACTACGTTCTCACGTGACGCTCTGACACCAGATCACAGGGTCCCCCATTGAACAACATCAGATCTCTGCGGGGAGTCCCACATTCCACTGTGACATCAGCTACGTGAACAAGGCAGCGTCGGATCCTGCAGGTCCATGGCTCAAGACCATTGTCCCACCCCCAGGAGACAATCGCGGACTGCTGGTTGTGGTGTTTTGGGGGTTTTCTGGAGGGGATAGTTTTGAGACAGTGTCTCCCTATGTAGACCAGACTCATTACATGACCATGAACTCATTACATAGCCCAGGCTGGCCCCACACTCACAAAGATCCTCCTGTCTCAGCCTCCAAAGTGTTGGGATCACAGGAGTGCACCACCACACCTGGCTCTGTGTATTTTTGAGACAGTGTCCCTGTGTTGCTCAGGCTGGTCCTGAACTCCTGGGCTGAAGAGATCTTCCTGGCTCAGCCTCCCAAGTAGCTGGGACTAAAGGCACATGCTACCATGCCTGGTTTCCATTCATTTGTTTAACCCGCTCACAGAACTCAGGGAAACAGCTTACCGGCTTATTCTACAAGCTGTAATGGAGAATACAGATGAAGAGGCCCACAGGGCAATGCCTGGGAGGAGCCGGGGCTTCCTGCCCTGGGCGGTGGCGCCCATCTCTGGGGACCCTGTGTGTTCAGCCATTGGGAAGCTGGCTGCACACCGTCCTTTCTTTTTTACTTCAGTCCTAGAGATGGAATCCAGAGCCTTTGCCTGGAGCTATATCCCCAGCACCTTTCGTATTTTTTAGTTTGAGACAGGGTCTCACTATATTGCTGAATTTTCCAGGCTGGGTTCAAAGATCGACTAATCTCCTGCCTCTGCCTCCCAGGGTGCAGGGATTACAGACAAGCTCCATCACTGCCCCAGCTCCTTTTTTTTTCCCCCCAGCTCCTTTTGGGTTCTTTCGGAGGCATCATTGGAGATCAACTCCGCCTTCAGCCCCTCCCCGCCTCAGAGGTTCTGACCCAACCCTGTAATCCTGCCTCCGCCTGCCTTGGCCTCAGTCTTGGCCTCAGTCTCACTGGGGAGCAGGACCCACCCTGAGGCTCCCTGGGGGGCTGACTAACAGTGAGCTCCTGTGCATGCCTGTGAGCCCAGCACTGAGGGAGGCTGAGGCAGGCAGATCCAGTTTGAGCCTAGCCTGCGCCATTCACCGACTTAGTGAGACCCTGTTTAAAAAAAAAAAAAAAAGGTCTGGGGGTGTAGCTCAGCGCAGAAGTCAGGTGTTCATCTCCAGTACTTGTGGGGGAAAAAGACTATTTGCTATCACTCGGGAGAGTTGAAGGATCTTAGGAGTTACACGCCAGGAATTATTTCATGAAATCATAACGAGATTACATGTTATTATGGAACTACTAGTAATATTCTTAGGCATGAAAATTAAGTTGTGGTGATGCAGAATACCTCTTGCCTGGAGCACAGAGGGCTGAAGGATCACGGCTGCAATGTGCTCAGACAGCTCCACAAGCACCAACCCCTCACCCAGTCACCCATAACACGTGCAGTGCCATGGCTTTCAGTGTAGCTCTGGGGTTGTGCGTTCCTCGCCATGCAGCTTTAGAGCACTTTAGTGCCCCCATAGGAAATTCTCACTCCCATTAAGTAGTCACTTGGTTTTTCTTTTTGTTTTGTCTTTTTGAGATAGGGTCTCACTGTGTAGTTCAGGCTGGTCTTGAGCTTACTTTGGAGCCCAGGCTGGCCTGGAACTCACAAGGATCCTCCTGCCTCAGCCTCCGGAAGGCTGAGATTACAGGCATGCACCACCACGCCCAGCCTAAATAGTCACTTGGGATCCACGTTCTTCCTCTACAGATCCCATGACCTCATCCACCGGCTGTCTACAGACTCATCTGAGCTACACCTGTCATACATCACCTCCGGCCTTTAGCACCTGGCTCATTCATTTCACATCACAGGTCTTTCTTCTTTTCTTTTCTTTGAGATACAGTCTGGCTATATAGTTCATTCTCGCTTTGACCTCTATGTAGCCCAGGCTGGCCTTGAACACTTGGTGATCCCCGTCTCAGCTTCCCAAGTACTAAGATTACAGGCATGCGCCACCACGCCCAGCTTTCTTTTTCTTTTCCCTTCTTCCCTTCTCTTCATTTCTTTTCTGCAGTGCTGGGGGTGGAACCTCAGGCCTTGGGCATGCCGGGTAAGGGTTGTACCACTGAGTTATATCCCCAGGTATTTTCTCACTTCTAACACAAACTGGAATAAGGAAGACTTTCTGGGCCATGCGAGGCAGTACAGTATGATGACCATGGGCACAGACTTTGTAGTTTTTTTTTTTTTTTTCCTTTTTGATACAGGGTTTCACTATGTAGTGCAGGCTGGCCTTGAACTCACTTTGTAGCCCAGGCAGGCCTCAAACTCATAGCGATCCTCCTGCCTCAGCCTCCTGAGTGCTGGGGTTATAGGCATGCAGACTTCATAATTTTGAATCCCGGTCTTGTCACTTCCTGGCAGTGTGACCTTACACAAGACACTCACCCTCTCTGTGCCTTGGTTTCCCAGATGTAAAATGAGGCTAATAATAGGGCCTTATGTCCTAGGGGTTGTCCTAGGGGTTGTTATGAGGGTTCAAGAATATTTGTAGAGTGCTAATGGGGCCTCAGGAAGCTGGAGATCAGAGCTTGTTAAATAAACACCATGAGGCTGCTGTAATTACATGTAGCCCCTGATGCTCAGCCCCAAGTTGTGAGTTGCAGATGGAGCCCAGGGCGCCACCCCATCTCCTGGGACAGCTGCTGCCCAGTGGACAGAGGAAGTGTGCACAGCCCTGGCTCCACACGCAAAGGAAGCCAGGGGACATCAATAGGTGGCCCTCGTGAGGGTCCCAGGCAGAAGCAGTCCCATGGACAAGGGCCATCCCAGGAGCACTGCAGAAGAGACCATGAGTGAAGCGACACACACACAGCATGTCACATACGTGTCCCCCTCAAGCCACCTCGGAAAAGGGGGACTCACCCTCTGCAGGGGATGGAATTTGGGTGTAGAGTATCAGATCTGTGACACATGGATGAGGGCTTCCCCTGGCTTGGTCCCTTCCCAGCTGAGTGACCTGCTTCCCACGCCCTGCCTCCTCCATGCGTAACACGGGGCCCCTGACAATCCCAGTCCTGCACTCTCTGCACGACCCGGCACCATGCATCGAGCCTGAGAAGTCAGTGCTGTCACCACAATGGCTCTTCTCGCACTTGCTGGGGTGCACAGGGGTTTCATTTATTGATTCTTTTTTAGCCCTGGGGATTGATCCCAGGGCTTCCACACTGAGCTACATCCCCAGCCCTTTTTTATTTTCAGACAGAGTCTTGCTAAGTTCCTAAGTTGCCCAGGCTGGGTTTGAACTTGGGATCCTCCTGCCTCAGCTTCCCAGAGTGCTGAGGTTACAGGTATGTGCCACCAGCCCCAGTACCACAAAAACCAAAAACCAAAAAATAAAACAAATCCAGACAAAACTCAGGATATGGGGCTCCTGGGACTCAGGCGGGCTGAGGAAAGGCCTTCTTCCCACACAGGGGCTTCCTTTGGGCTCCCCCCCAGTCCCCTTAGGTGCTAGGACCCACCACCTTAGGGTGCCCAAAGGGAAGGGCACTCGAGAAGAGGCACTGTGGGCCTGCGCGGGCCACCGCAGAGACAGCACAGCCGCGTGGAGCCAAGGGGCTCAGTGTCCTGGGGGTGCAGGGGGAAGCAAGGGGGAGCCACAGATGATTCCTCAGCTGGAGAAGAGCTGACTTCAGCCAAGGAGGTGTGAGGGCAGGGGGTGCGCTGGACCGAATGGATTGCAGACAGCAACGTGGCCTGCGAAGGTGTCAGCAGAAATTACACAGGGCCACCCTTAACTTCCTGGGCAAATGCCTTAAGCAGATCTCTGGCCTGGGGTGAGGTCTCCTCCTCGTTCCTGTTCCAGCCATCTGTATGTCTTGTCCTGCTTGGACACCAGCACCCCGGGGCAGGGATCACTGTTCCGGGCCTACGACAGACTGGTGGCAAATGCTTAGTGCGTGTGCTTCGAATGAATGAGGTTCTAGGTCCCATTTGCTACTACAATCCCACCTGTTACGGTGTGTGTCCAGATGTCCCCCGCAAAGCCTCAGCGCTCATAGGTGCGGCTTTTTCAGAGGTGGCTGGATCTAGAGTGTGCGGTGCTGGGATTAAGGGTGTGAACGCTACACCCACACGAAATATAAGGGACAGAAAGTGGGCTGAGTGTTCCTTCTCTGTGATGCCCCTCTGCCATGCCGCCCTGCCATGGAGCCGGCCGGCTGTGGACTGAAACCTCTATGAACTGCAAGCCAAATAAACCTTGCCTCCTTTAACTTGGGTGTCAGGTATTTTGTTTCAGCAACGAGAAAAGTAAGGCAGCACCCGATGCCCTTTTCTGTCTCCAGTTCTGAATGAGTGAACAGGGCAGTTGCAGCCAGGGGAAGGGGCAGGAGGCCATTTTTAAGGTGTTTCTGCCTCAGGGAAGAGTGTGGGGTCACAACCTGGGAGTTATTCTGACTTCCCTTTCCCTTCCCCCACAGGAAGCCCATTAAGAAACCTTGCAGGCTCTATCTGCAAATCGCATCCACAGCACTGTCCGGGATTTCTCCCGGGCCCCACCCTGGTCTAGGAAGCTGGCAGCAGCCCTCAGGATGTCTCTACAGTGTGGCTATGGCTAGGCATATCCCTCCAGTCTGTCTTGATTTGGCTCTGTCCTCCCTCAGGACGAAGCTTGACTTCGCGGTGGCCCACACAGGCTGCATGCCTTGGTCTACCCTATTCCTCACCTCCTGTCCCCTAGGCTGGCCTCTGCACCATTCCTTAAAAACCATGCAAGTCCTGCCTCAGGGCCTTTGCACTTGCCGCTGAAATCCTGCTGCAGTATCTGCTGCTTCCTCCTTCCCTCCCTCCAGGTCTATTGCTGCTGAAGCATTCCCTGACCACCATGAGGACAGTAGCAAGGACCCCTGGACCGTGCTCTCTTTCCCCTGCTAGAGTTGACAACCATCTGTCATCTAGAACCTTGTTTATCCCCTCCCACTAGCACATCAGACCTAGGGGCAGAGACTGAAGTCCACCGAGTTCAGGGCTACATCGCCAGCGCCCACATAGGGCAACACTCTGCCGGAGCCCCACAGATAGGTACAACAAGCCAGGGAGAGGGACAGCAGGAATCCCAGTGTGCTCAGTGGCAGGGGCTGAGGCCAAGTCAGAGCTGGGGCTCCGTCCTGAGGGCACTGGGTAGCCACAGAGGGTTAGAGTTAGGGAGAAGGGAGTGTGCGGCGGGGGTTGGGCCAGGTCAGCGGGGCAGGGGACTGAGGTGGGAGGAGCCCTGGCACCGAGTGAGGACCGCGTCCAGCCCAGTGCAGCCGGGTGCCTCTTCCTGACCTTGGCGGGGACAAGGCCAGCGCTGCGCCGGGGGAGAGTGGCTATGACAGCTCCGGGCGCCCTCTGCTTCCCTGCGCGAGTCAGGCTGGCGACAGTGTTACAGAGGTGTCAGCTAGGTCCCCAAACACACTTCCTGTGCCTGTGGGCCAGGGCAGCAGGCTTCCATCCATGGCAGAGGGGGCAGGTGAGGGCCTGGGAGAGCTGCAGGGGATGGGACAGAGAGTAGGGGACCTTGAGATGCAGGGAGGGGGGAGAGTGTTCTGTGGAGCCACAGGGCAGTGGGGCTGAATCTGGGGCCTGGACCCCTGGGTCTCAGGGAGGAGATTGGATCCGGCCCTGCGATTCCGGCCTGGCCAGCTCCTCAGGCCCTGCCCGGGTCACCCCCCCTCAGCCTATAAGCCCCGTGAGCCCCTCCCGTGGCAGGGTGTGGCAGGACTCGAAGAGGCCCTTGAAGTCCTGTGTGCCTGGAGCGCTGGCCTCAGCTGCTGCCTCAGCCACCTGGTTAATTAATTAATTGCATTAATCACAGCGCCCACCCCCGCAGCGGAACTCCGGAGCCGGTCTAGGGGGCGAGCAAAAGCAGCCGGGGCTACCGTGGGCCCGGGCCTGGATTTCTCTGCCTGCCTCCGGGCTTCACCACTCGTGGCCAAGAGCTGACCCCTCCTGTCCCTGCAAGTCTGTCCCGTTCCCTCCCAGATCTGGAGCTCTGTCCCCACTTCCCCCGCCAAGGTTGACTCCTGGGCCCAATCTCCAGCTCAGCTCTTCCTGGCTGGGTGGGCCGATCCCGCCCACATCCTGAGGTGGGAGCTCACACCTCAGTCCTGGGGGCTCCCGCTCTGGCTGTGCCTCCTGGTTGGTGTCTCCTGGAGTCTCTGGCCTGTGTGGTTCTCAGGGACCAGGGCTGAGCCTCAGCCTCTCTCTCTTTTCATTTTTCCGCCTCTCTTTTGAACAGCTTTACTGCGCTATAACCCTCTGCCGTGAGACCCACCCAGTGTCCAGCGCAGTGCCTTTTAGTGTGGTCACAGGGTTGTGCATCCATCACCACAATCAATTCTAGAACCTTCTCATGACCACAGACACAACCCGAATTGTTCTCTGGTTTTCTGTCCTTCCCTTCCGTTCCCTTCCCCTCCATTCCCTTCTCCTCCGTTCCCTTCCCCTTCCTTTCTCTTCCCCTCCTTTCATTCCTTTCCCTTTTCACAGTGAAGATTGAACCCAGGGTCTTCACACTACACACCCAGTCAGAAATTTTTTCTTATTTTTTGTTTGAGACCGGGTTTCCCTGAGTTGCTCGGGGTGAGCTGGAACTTGCCCATGAGATCCTCCTGCCTCAGCCTCTCAAAGTGCTGGGACTGCAGGCGTACACCACCACGCCAGGCTTCCATTCTCTCATGTTCTTTCCTCTCTTCTGGGTCTGGGTCTCCTGTCTCCAGAATCTGCCTCTGCCTGCGATTCCCGGGAGGCTCTGGTCTCTCAACATCTCTGGGCCACCTCTCTTAAGGTGTCTCTGTGTCTCTGACCAGGGATCTCCCTGCTGCCTGTCTCTCCACATCCCCGACACACGTTCTTACTGCCTGGTCCACCTCGCTGGGTCCCTTCTTCCCCTCCCCCTCCTGCTCCATTTCTCAGCATCGCTGGGACATTAAAAATGTAACAGCGTCCCAGGCAGGGGCGGGGGAGCTGGCCCCAGTGCACAGCTCCTGTCCCTCCCCTGTCTGCCGCTCCGTGTGGCCCCCACAAGCTGCCGGCCTTGTGGCTCCCTGCGTCCTGACCTCAGGGGAGGGAGGTCAGTGCATCCCGGTTGTCCCTAGGCTGGGCTCCCTGCCCATCACCAAGTGCCTCTGTCTCCTTGTGTCCCTGCCCTCACTCTGGTCTCTGCCCGCCTCCCTTCCCCCAACAGTCTCATCTCTCCCTGTGGCTGGATGTCACCCCCATCTCTGTGCCAGTCTTTTGGGTGCATCAGCCTAGTCCCTAGATGTGGTCTTGCCCCCTGCCTCTGTTGGCTTCTGTCCCCATCCCTGTATCTCTGTCTTCTCTGTGGATCCCGTCCCCGCAGTTCTGCTCAGGCCCCTTCCCTAACAAGAAGAGACAGCTCAGCCTGCGTCCCCTCCTCCCCTCCCCCGCCAGGCCTGCGTGGGGCTGCCGAGCTGACACAGAGGAGCGAGCTGACACCAGGGAGGAGCGGGGAACAAGAGAGGAATGGGGTGGGCTGGCCAGGGCTCCAGGTGGGGCACCTGCATGCCTAGGGGGCCACAGAGGGGGACAGGAGCGAGGGACAGGGAAGCAGGGTGGAGAGAAAGGAGGGAGAGATGGGGAGGTGGAGGAAAGAGGAGCCTGAGGAGGAGGCGGGAGAGAGGGTGAGAAAGGAAGAGAGGAAGAGGGAGAGGGAAGGGAGGGAGGAAAGAGGGGAGCAGGCTGAGACTGCCGCAAGCAGAGGCAGAAGGACGCTCGGTGGGGAGGGAAGGCCCCTTCCTAGAGTCTCCAAGGCATCCTGGGACCTCCGAGCCCTCCCCGTGGTCCTGCAGGGAAGGGACTCTGTCACTTCAGTTTTACAAAGGATGAAATGGAGGCTCAGAGGCACTTTGGGGTGCACCCAGCCAAGGGTTCGGAAGAGCCAGAATCCAGAGGGCAGGCCCTGGAGTCCGGCTGCCCAGGGATGGCCGCGGGACCTGGGAGAGTGGCTTGCCCTTCCGAAGCCTGTTTCCTTGTTCTCAACATGCAAACAGGAAGAACTCTTTCTTGGGGTGATCAGGAACCTTCTGAGACCAAGCGCCAAGGTCTGGGGTTCAGCCTAGGTGCGGTTCTGATCTCATCTGCCCGTCGCTGACACGCGGGAGGCGGGGAATGGAAGAGGAAGGTGAGGGATTAGGGTTGAAGCCGGAAAAACTCAAGGCACATCAGGGGAGCTTGAGGCCAGGGGAATCACTAGCTTTCCCCAAGAGCCTCCTGAACCCCTCTCTGGGCAAACCCTTGGGAAACTCCAGCATCCTGGAGTTTCTAGCTGAGAACAGTCTGTCACCTGCAAGGGGCGGCACCCGATCATTCACCTGTGCCCTCTCAGCCTCTCGCTCCTCTGGGGCCCGCGCCCGTGCGGGGGGGGGGGGGGGGCGGCGGCAGGGAAGGTGCTGGGATTGGCTCAGCGGCTCCACCCCCATAGCGGCTCCGAGGACAAAGGCACGACAGGAGGAAAGATAAGTTCCCGAAACCCGGGCGTCCGGAACCAGGAACAGGACAGCTCCCCGCCGGCCTGCCCCTCCCCTGCTGGGCGAAGGCGATACCCGCGAAACTTCCCAGACCAGACTGCTCACCAGGACGGGAGGCAGCTCCCGCCTGGGACCCACCCGGACTCAGCGGCGTGAGCCCCCAGCTTCTAGACACAGCGGCCCTTGATTGTATCTGGAGGCCAAAGTAAGCACCCTCCTGCCTCAGCTTCTCCCTCTCGGAAGACATCCTCAGTCCAGTTCAGTCTGAAGCCCACCAGATCAAGCCTCCGGCTCCCAGTGCCACCAGGAACCCAGGAGGCAGAGCGCCCAGCCCACAATCCAACCTAGAACTCACCAAGTGGAGCCCCTTGTGACCCCAGTTAGTAACATGCCCTGGCCTTGATCTAGCCGGGATTCAGGACAGGACTGGGACCCCAGCCCCTCATCTTTCCAGACTTAGTGGTGTCAGACTGCAAACTCCCGACCAGACCTGGTCCAGGCTCAGGCCCTCTCCCTCCAGGTCGCCCCGGCAATCATCCTTGGTGGCCCAGGACCCCGAAGTCCGAGTTCTCTGTCCTTTCTTAGACTTCGACGCCTGGCCCTTGCCCTCAAGTCCTTCCAGGCCCATACTCTCAACCATGGCAAAAAGGAAACACGGGGGCGGGGGTCTCCTTCGCCATCATCACGACCCTCCCCCCCAGGGAGGCACATTCTCCACATTCCTGGAGCCGGCAGCAAGCCAGGAACGGGTCCAGCACCACGGATCGGCGGGGCAAGGAAGGGGCGGGAGGCCTTGGCAGACCTCGGATTTAACTCCGTGGGCTCGAGGACCCAAGCCCCCTCCCAAGTCCAGGGCAGGATGGGCGGGTGGGGTACAGGGTGTGACCAGTGAGGGACGCCGAGAGGAGGGGTCGGGAAATTGGAGAGGATGAGGTGAGTCTGTATGGAGGCCGGCAGGCCCAGCCTGCAAGGGGGCGCGAGAGGGGCCTCGAGGCCCGGGAGCTGGAATCGGGGAGGTAAGGGCGCTACGGAGCGAGGGGAGGGTCTCAGTATCCTACCTGTTTCTCGGAGCTGCAGTAGCAGCAGCGACAACAGCGGCAGCGTCGGCGACAATCTCGACGGCGGGAGCGCTGCGGCCCGGGCCATGGGGGGCCCGGGAGGGGGCTGGGCCCGGGCGGGGACTTGTGGGCCACTCCGCGCTGGCCGATCGGCTGAGCAAGCGAGCAGGTGCTTGGGGGTGCGGCTCCGGGCCAGTTCCCGCCGGTCACCGCTCTCCCTGCTAGCTTCTCCGGGCTCAGCTTTCCCCGCCCAGCTCCTGAGATCCGCGCCCCGGGCCCCTCACACAGCTCCGGCCTCTCGGACTCGCTGACGTCACTGAACCTATCCCCCACTCTCCCCCTTCGGAGCCGATCCGGGCTGCGGCCACGCCCCCCTCGGAGCTCGGCCACGCCCCCTCCTTTCCCCAGGGTTCTGAGCCGGCAGGCTCCCAGGATTTTATACACCAGGATCGCTCCTCCCACAGATTCTGTCTCCGCCCTTGTCCGCTGTTAAACACCGCCCCTTTAGCATTTAGCCACGCCTCCGCTCCCGGGGCGTCCCCGAGCGTCCCGGCCCCCACCTGCTGCCCCCTCTACAAAGGTTCTGCCACGCCTCCTGGAGAACTTCCGGCCGCCCGCGCCCCGCGAAGCCACGCCCCCACCCCAGGCCCCGCCCATCCACCATGCCAGTAGCCCCTTCCACTCTGGGTAGGAACTCACCCCGCCCACACAACGTCGGCCCCGCCCACAGCCTTAATCCCACCCCTTCTGCGTAGCCAGGTCCCCCTCGTCACACTTGCGTGAGGCCTGCGGGCTCACATAGGCCCGCCCCTTTTGAGCCCCGCCCACACAGAGGCCCCGCCCCTCGTCTGGGCTGGGTTTCCAGTCTCCTGGCCGCTTGCGGGTTCTGCGTGCGGGGTACCTCTCCGAGTACCCGAGTCTCTCTCCAGTCTGTGCCCCCTCCGGGGCGTCGCTGCGTCATTTCTTGCTAGATTTCTCTTAGTGTCTGTCATTATCTTTGTATCTCCGTTCTCCCCTGTTTCTGTCTGGGTCTTTCCGATCTTGATGCCTCAGGGTTGCTTCTCCGGCTTCTCTTTGTCAGTGTTTCTGTGTCGCGTGGTCCCCATGTCTCTTTCCATCCCTTTGACTGTTTGTTTCTGTCCCTGTGCCTCTCTTGTTTCTGTGTCTCTTGCTGTGTCTGTGCCTCTGTTTCTCTCCGTGTCTCTGTCCCTCCCTCTTTCATCCGTGACCCTCCCTCCCCGCGTCCCCGAGTCCCCTCTCCCGCGCAGAGTCCGCGCCCCCTCGTTCCCGCGCCGCCCGCCAGGGGGCAGCACAGACCGCACTGCGGGGCTGGCCGAGCCGGGCTGGGTGGGGCTGGCCGGGCCGGGCTCTGAACCCTGCGGTCCCTCCCCGTGTCCTTGTCCCACTTCCCCGCCGCCTCTCGGCGCCTTTGTGTTGCGCCCTGACTCGGCCCCTTTGTCTTCCTCCGGCCCGCGCCTCCCCGCCCCCACCTGCCTCTCACATTCCTGGCCGCGAGGGAACCGCGGGCCCGGAGCTGGCGGGCGCGGGGGCGGGTGGGGGTGGAGGCCGAGGAGGAGACGCCGGCCTCCAGGGGCCGGGGTTTGGGGACTCCTTGCGGAAGGCCCCACAGGCTGGGCCCTTCCCACCTGTCACCCACCTGTCTCTCCTCCCGAAACGGGGAACGGGAGGTCGCGGCAGTGCAGGCTTTCGCTGACCCCTGTCCAAGACTTGGTAAAGGTACTGTTGATAAACATAGAGCACTCACTGTGGGCGGGTGCAGATCTAAACGCGCTATGCATTATCTCCTTCTGTTTTTTGAGAAGGTCTCACTTTGTAGCTCAGCCGGGCCTCAAACTCTCGCTGCGATGCTCCCGCCTCAGTTTCCCGAGTACTGGGATTACAGGTGTGTGCCACCAAGCTCAGCACTACAAGTGTTATCTGAACCCACACATGATAAGGAAACAGACACAGAGATGAAGTGACTTGACCCAGAGTTAGAGTTACAAAAAATCAGGTGCGACTAGTGGGGTTTGGTGACGCATGCCTGCAATCGCAGCTCTTTGGGAGGCTGAGGCAGGAGGATTACAAATTGGAGCTCAGCCTGGGCAAATCAGGGAGATCCTGTGTCAAAATAAAAAAGGGATAGGGTGTATCTCAAGGGGACGGTCCTGGATTTAATTCCTGGTGGGGGGGGGAGTGGCAGTTGCAGAATTGACCCTGTTTTAAGTGCTTTATTTGTCTTAGTTTATTCCTCTCAAGAGTCCTGTGAACGGGACACTATCATGATCCCCATTTCACTGCAAGGAAGTAGCAGGCCGGGATTTGGACCTGGACAATCTGTGCTCTTGTCGCTGCTGCTCCATGACCTCCACATAAGCAGCATCTCAGGCTCCGTACAGGTGAACTCGAGGCCGGATGGGCAAATAACTGCAACGTTGTAGACTCCACACTGCTACTTTCTTTGCAAAACCCTGCCTGTCCATTTTCTCTCTTGAACCAAAGAACTGGTCGCAGGGAGTAGGAAGGTCCCCAGCACCCACTCTTATGTCCTGCCACCAGGTGGGTGGGGCGAACCTGGAAGGAGCCCCAGGAGTGCAGGCTGGAGTCCCACTCCAGCCCCAGGTCACGTGCACGCAGTGAGCACTGCTACTTTGTTGACAAATGACAGGTGGGTCCCATGCCTGGCGAGTCAGCTTCCAGGGTCAAGGAGCCTCAGAGGCAGCACTTGGCTGAAAAGCCTTAGACTCCGGAGGTGGGGAAGCAGCTTCCTGAAGGGGCCTCTGAGTCAACACCTGGTGTTTCACCTGCCCTGCGGCCTGTTTTCTTCTGGCAGCAGCTGCCCCACTCCCTGGGTTTCCTTAGCGTGGGTCCTTCTGGAACACAGTGAGCCTCACCTGGGCCTGGCCAAACAGAGCATTGCATGTCCCACGCTTTGGTTTCAGGAATGGGAATGGATCTGAGCCCCTGGATCCAGCTATGCCTGAAGGTAGTGCACCCAGTTATACAACTAAATAATTTGTCCCTTTTCACCTACATCAATTTTTTACTTTTATTTTTTTTGTCTTTTTGAGACAGGGTTTCATTATGCAGTTCAGGCTGGCCCTCCAACTCACAGTGATCCTCCTACCTCAGCCTCCCAAGTGCTGGAATTATAGGCGTGCACCACCATGCCTGCCTTGGCATCAAATTTTTACTTAGTGCTACCCCCACCATTTTCTTTCTTTCTTTTTCTTCCTTTTCTTCCTTTTCTTTCTTTCTTTCTTTCTTTCTTTCTTTCTTTCTTTCTTTCTTTCTTTCTCTTTCTCTTTCTTTCTTTTCTTTTTTTTGGTCATTTGCAACCAAACTGATAAAATCTGTCCAAGTCCAGAATCGATAACAGATTCCTGCAGTGTCCCAAGGGCAGGGAAAAGGTGATGATGAAAGTCTTCGGGCCAGACGTGGTGGCACATGCCTGTAATCCCAGCACTTGGGAGGCTGAGGCAGGAGGATCGTTGCGAGTTCGGGATCAGCCTGGGCTACAAAGTGAGCTCAAGGCCAGCCTGAACTGCATAGCGAGACCATCTCAAAAAGATAAAAAAAGAGCAAGTTTTCAGAATCGCTGGGCATAGTGTCGTATGACTGTAACCCCAGCACTCAAGATGCTGAGGCTTTGTGATAGTGGGGAACATGGGAAAGGGCATTCACAGGAAGAGGAGCCATAACATCACCAAGCATGGCAGAAATATGGTGTGTGGGAGGAGCAGTGTCTCTGAAGGCCCTAAGTGCCTGGTCAAGGTGGTCCAGCTCCTGGGAACAATAGGGAGCCACAGAAGGTTGCTGAGGGAGGGAAGCTTGCTACAAACTTGCTTTTATTTGGTGGAGCCCCAGATGCCCAGGCTCACGCTTCTCTCCATGCTCTCCCTCCAGGCCCTGGCCAGGGTGGGAGGAGGGGTCACCATGAGTTGGGCCCAGGTTGCCATCTGTATGCAAATCCCCTGGGGTGCCAGGCAGGGGTGGGACCTTATGCAAATGTGTGCCCTTTTGGGGGCTGACCCAGACTTTCTCCTCATTAATGTGGGGACCAGGTGCTGAGTAGAGAAGCTCCTCCTCTTTGGGGCCACTCTTTCCCCTCCCCCAGGCATCTGTTCACTCCCCTCCAGCTCCCCAGGGTCTGTCCTTTGCGGTGTCTTTCAGGAAGCCTCTGTGTCTCTTCCCTTGGAACAACTCACGTGTGCTGCTGCGTGGACTCTGCCTGGCTCCTCCTAAGCACCTGCCATAGGCGTCTCACCTGACTCTCCCACCTACGCTTGCATCCTCCGTGTATTTTCATTTACTTATTATTATTATTATTTTGTCTTTTTGAGACAGGGTCTCCCTACGCAGTTCAGGATGGCCTTGGGCTCACTTTTCTAGCCCAGGCTGGTCTAGAACTTGCAATGATCATCCTGCCTCAGCCTCCCGAGTGCTGGGATTACAGGTGTGTGCCACCATGTCCCGCCATTTACTACTTCTCCTTCTCCTCCTCCTGTTCCTCCTCCTCCTCCTGTTCCTCCTCTGCCTCCTCCACCGCCTCCGCCTCCATCTTTTTCTCCTCCTCCTCCTTCTCCTCCTCTTCCTCTTCCTCCTTGTTCTTCTTATTATTATTTTGGTACTGGGAATCGAATTTAGGACTTTGCACTTGCCAGGCAGGCACTGTGCTGCTGAACTATATCCCTGGCCCTTATTTATTGATTTATTAAGACAGGGTCTCTCTATGTAGTTCAGGCTGGCCTCAAACACATTGTGATCCTCCTGCCTCAGCCTCCCCAGTGCAGGGATTACAATAATATGATATTCAATTTTGCTGTATAAAGGACCCAAGAGTCACACAAACAGCAACACAGATGACACAAGGGAAGGATGAGACCTGTTGACGTACAGTAGTCTCTCCTTTATCCGTGGTTTTATTTACTGTTATAGTTTGGACAAAACTGTCCCCCCAAAAGCCTCTTGTAGCTGAGTGTGGTAGTGCACATTTCTAATCTCAGCACTCAGGAGGCTGAGGCAGGAGGGCTGCTGCCAGTTTGAGGCCAACCTGGGCTACACGGTGAGTTGAAGGCCAATCTGAACTATGTAGGGAGACTGTCACAAACAAGCAAGGAAGCAAACACATACTCTTATGTTCAGAGCTCGGGCTCAGAAGCTGGGAAGGTGACTGGATCTTGGACACTAACCTCTTCTGATCTGGCCATTGCCGAGCTCCTGCTGAAGCGCTGTGGGGCTAAGGCTGCTGGAGGAGAGGGTCACGGGGCTGTCCATAGCTGGCGTGTCCCTCCCTCTGGCTCTTTCTTACTCTGTGTCCAGTCCCTGTGCGGTGAGCAGCTCGCCTCTGGTGTGCTGCTCCACACTGATGTTCCTGCCTTGGGACCAACACCATGGACTGAACCCTCAGAAACCATGAGACAGAGTAAAACCTTTGGGCCGGGGATGTAGCTCAGTGGCACAAGCGCCTGCCTGGCAAGTGGAAGGTCCTGAGTTCGATTCCCAGAACCAAAAAAACAAAAAAAAAACCTTCCTCCTCGAAGTTCAGCCATTGAAAGTATCTTTAGCTGCACTGTCCCGGCTGCTTCAGTGTCCTGAATTTTTTCTAAACATTTACCTTTCATGGTCATTTTGATTGTGAGTAAGAGCCAGAAGTTGCATGGTGCCAGGTCTAGTGAATAAAGTGATGAGGATACACAGGGATGTTTTTATGATCCCTCCTTTCTGGTAGATGGCCCTCAGCAGCAGCAGTTACTGTACTTTTGATCATATTTCAGGAAGACCCTCATGAAAGAGAGCATCTAGAACTGCTTCAGGGGGCTGGGGATTTAGCTCAGCGGCAAAAGCGCCTGCCTGGCAAGCGCAAGGTCATGAGTTCGGTTCCTGGTACCGGAGAAAAAACAAAAAAAAAAAAAAAAAAAAGAACTGCTTCAGAAAGTAGCAAGAAGGATGGGGTAAGTGTGTTTGAAATAGAGGGTGTGGTATTTTCAAGGTACTAATAGTAATCTATCTTTTACTGTAATAAAAATGTGTTTTGAGGCAGGGTTTACTATGTAGCCCAGGCTGGCCTTGAATTCACAGCAGTACTCCTGCCTCAGCCTCCCAATTGCTGGGATTACAGGAGTGCATCACCATTCCTGGTTATTTATTTATTCATTGAGACAAGGTCTCACTATGTAGTCTAGGATGGCCTCAAACTCTCTGCAGTCTTCCTGCCTCAGCCTCCTGAGTGTTGGGATTAAGGACATGTGTCACCACACTTGGCTGTAATAAATTTTAATTTAAACACTCACTGTATATATTGATCAAATTTTGTATGTCAGGTATTTTATCCCAGCAACAAAAAGCTTACAGTTGGTCAATCATAGTCCAAGTTATTAAATAGAACATTACATATATACACAATGAGTATGTTTAAATAATTTTATTATAGCATGCTTTAATTTTTTTTTTTCAGAGTCTCACATGTAATTCAGGCTGCCCTTGAATTCACTGTGTAGTCCAGGCTGGCCTCAAACTTGCAGTGATCCTCCTGGCTCAGCCTCCCAAGTGCTAGGATCAAAGGCCTGCACCATCATGTCTGACTTTTTCTTTTTTTGTTTTTTTTGAGACAGGGTCTCCCTATGCAGTTCAGGCTGGCCTTGAACTCACTTTGTAGCCCAGGCTGACCTCAAACTCGCAAGGATCCTCCTGCCTCAGCCTCCCAAGTGCTGGGGTTACAGGCATGCATCATCACGACCAGCATGTCTAACTTTTTCTTTTTAAGACAAAGTCTTGCTATGTTGCCCAGGCTGGCCTCAAGTGTAATTCTCCTGCCTCAGCCTCCCAAGAACCTGCAACTACAGGTGTGTGCCACTATACCTGGCTTTAAAAACATTGTTATTAATAATTCAAATTTATAATTACCTGTACCTAATTTATTAAGTCATAACTTAAAAAATATGTGTGTATATCTATATCTATATCTATATCTATATATGACAGGTTCAGCAGTGTCTGTTGTTTGCAGGGGGAGTTTTGGAATATGTCCTTGGTGGATGGTTCATATTAAGAATATGAACTAAGCCAGCTGTGGTGGTGCACATGTGTAATCACAGCACTCTGAGAGGCTGAGGCAGGAGGGTTGCAAGTTTGCGTTCAGCTTGAACAACTTAACTGGGATCCTGTCTCAAAAAATAAAAAGGGCTAGAATGTATCTGAAATGGGAGCGCGTCCCTGGATTCCAGCCTCAGTAGTGAAAAAAGGGAAAGACAAGCAAGAACAAGAAAGTGAAATCAATATTGGTGGCGGCGGAAGGCCCAGGGCACTCCAGCATCCTTCAGCAGGTGCCCACTGGTGACGCCCGCTTGGCTCCGTGAGTGCCCTCCCCATGACATGCAGGACCGATCCGGGCGGCTGAGTGCTGGGCCCTTCTGCTCTCCCTGAGGACCTAACTACCAGCAGGGAGGGCAGCACGGCTCCCAGGTCCCTGGACTCCAGTTCTGCCGCAGGACTTTTTTTTGTTTTTTTGGTTTTTCTCTGGTACTGGGAACCGAACTCATGACCTTGTGCTTGCCAGGCAGGCGCTTTGTGGCTGAGCTAAATCCCCAGCCCCCTGCTGCAGGACCTTTGATCACTTATATTTGGATCTAAGATAACAACCCCACCTTTTTTCTTGTTTTTCAAATTTGTTTTTCTGTTACAAGGGACTGAACCCAGAGCTTTCACACTATATCCTCATCTTTTCTTTCTTTTTCTTTACCTTTTTGAGACAGGGTCTCGCTGTGCAGTTCAGGCTGGCCTTGAGCTCACTTTGTAGCCCAGGCTGGTCTCAAACTCGCAAGGATCCTCCTGCCTCAGCCTCCCAAGTGCTGGGATTACAGGTGTGTGCCACCACCCCTGACCCCTTTTTTATTTTGGTTCAGGCTCTCACTAAATCACCCAGGCTGGGCTTGAACTTGCGATCCTCCTGCCTCTGCCATCATGACCCAGTGCTTTAAATGAATTCATCGAGTGTGAGATTTGAGTGTCTTGCTTGGCTTGTGAGCTCCTTGCTCTGGGCAGATTGCTCAGTGGCCTTGCAGGTGGCTCCCCTGAGCGGCACCACGTCCCTGGATGCTGGACCCTGTTCATGGCTGGGCAAAGTCGGATGGAGAATGGCTGTGCGGCCACCTGAGATTAGGGACTGCAGCGCCCTGCTGCTTATCCTGCCCCTGGCCCCTCGGCCCTGCAGAGCCCCCTAGGGGCCAACATATGACCTCTCTCCAGAGGGTGCCACTGAACCTGGGTTCAGGTGAAGTCCCTAGCTAATGGCAGGGCCATGCCACAGGTGCCCACACTCTCTGCCCGCCCCAGTGCCACTGTGATGCTGCTTGCTAGTTTCCCTTCTCCTTTCTTCTGTAATTGTCTCTCCCAGACAGGCCTGGAACTCAAGGTGGTCCTCCTGCCTCAGCCTCCTGAGCCGTGGGATTACAGGTATGTACCCATACACTCAGCTCCAGTTCCTCTTTGTGTTTCTGTCTCTATTTGCTTCTGTCCCCCTAAATCTTGCTCTTATCTCAGAGCTTCCAGGCCCATGCCTCCTCCCACCCTCCTCTCCAAGTCTCTCTCTCTCTCTTTTTTTGGTACTGGAACTGGAAGCCAGGCTGGGCTCCACCACTGAGCGACACCCACCCCCACCCCCCGGCCCTTTTTCATTTTGAGACAAGCTTTCCCTAAACTGCCCTGGCAAGACTCAAACTTGAAGTCCTCCTACTTCCGTCTCCCTCCAGGCTGGGATTACAGGTATGAACCACCACACCCAGCTTTTTCTGTCCCTCTTTCAAACTTCTCTTCCTCAGTCTCAGAAAGTCTGACTGTCTCCTCCCTCTGGCCCAGGCCCCTCATCTGGCCCACTTCCCCTGGGAATCCTCAGCTGCAGGGTCTCTGACCTCCTGAGAGGAGGCCCACCCGCAATCCCATCAGCTCTACAGCAGAGAAAGAGAGAGGGAGAGAGAGAGAGATCTTCCCCTTCCAGCTCAGCTCCCTCGAGGCTCCTGAGAGTAGGAATTTTTCCTTAAGGGGACAGCACCCCACGCCACGCAGGCCCCGGCTGCTGGTCCTCAGGGGCCCGCCCGGCCCGAGCTCTCGGACTGGGCATCTCTCCCTTCTGCCCTTTGCAGCTTTGCAGCTGAGTCACCTCTTCCCCCTCACCCTCTCCCTCTCTGCCATTTCTCTCGCCATGACATCAGGCTTCTCCTGAGGCAGGGAGAGGCACCGGGAGGGAGGGGAGAGCCACCTGCACCCCCTCGGCCCTCCCTGCCCCCAGGGAGCTCTGGCCACCGGACAGTGTCTATGTGACAGACAGCATTTATTCCAGAATCCAGTGTCCACATATAAGGGCCGGGGGCGAGGGTGGGCGGGGGATCCAGTGTCAGACTGTGTAGCAGGACTCAGGTGGGGGCACTCGCGTGGGGGAGGAGGTAAAAATAGCCCCGGCCAGGGACCCTCCGGCCTCGTCCCAGGCCGGCCCTGGGCTTGGGTCCAGGAGCTATTCTAGGGCCTGGGAGAGTGACACTCCCTGAAGGAAGGCCCCCTCCCCGCCCCCAGCCTCCCTGCTCCCCTCCCGGAGGCCAGGCCGGGCAGTGGGTCCCTGCCCGGCAGCCAGAGGAAGGAAGGGAGGGACAGGGCCGGGCTGGCCGGGCTGGGGGAGGAGGGTGGTGGCACAGGGCTGGTGCTTGGGTGCCCACAGCTCACGGTTGGCGCCTGGAGCCTCCAGGCATCTTGGGCTCAGCACTGCGGAGTAAACGGGTCCCTCAGCCTGCTCCCAGGAGGCTGTCCCCATGCCCGGCGGGCTCCCTGTGCCCAGGGGCCCGGCCTTCACTCACCTCGTCTCTGAAAGCCCCGCTGCCAGCCCGGGCTCCTCCCCCGGCCCCTCCCACGAGAAGGCCCGTGTGCTCTGGGCGCTCGGAGGAGCGGCTCAGCTCTGGCTCCCCAGGCCTGCGGGGAGGGGGTGGCGTTGGACTCGGTCACGGGAGGGGAAGGAGCCCGGGGCAAAGGGGCAGGGGCAGGGTGGGGCAGGATGGGGGTCAGGAGACCGTGATGGAGTTGGGGCTGGCTTTGGGGACATCGGGGACGGAAGCCAAGGCCGGGGGCTGGGGTAGGCAGGGGAGCGTCTGAAGGTGGTCATGGGATGGGGCTGGGATGGCCACAGGCTGGGAAGGCTCCTGCGCCAGGACATTTGGTTGGGGCGGAGGAGGGCAAGGGGCTGGGAGGTGGGCTCGGGCGGGCGGGGCTGCGAATGGCGCAGGCCTGGGGCTGAGGCCAAGTGCGGCTGGCTGGGTGGGAGATGAGGGCCACTCACGGGGTCCCCTTCTCTCTGCGGCGGCAGCAGCCTGGGCGTCCCTTGCGTCGCATGCAGTAGAAGGTGGCGACCACGAGCAGCAGGAGGCCCACGCTGATGGCCACAGCCATGACGGCGATGCCGGCCTGCTCGGTCTGGGGGGCCACTGTGGGGGCAGTGGGGGCTCAGTGGGCAGGGCTCGGCCAGCACCGCACCCGGCTCCACGCTCAGCCTCTGCGTCACTCACCAGTGCCAAAGCGGAAGACGTGGTGCACCTGCCCGTGGGAGTTGGAGGCCTCGCAGGTGACGCCCTCTCGGCCCAGGGCACTGGTCACGCGCAGCCTCAGCGAGCTGCTCGCCCAGCCCTGCCCGCTGTGGGCCTGCTCTGCCGGCTGTGGAGGCTTGGGTCAGGCCCGCGCCGGGGACCAAGGGCCAGGGGTGCAGGCAGAGGTGGGGACGGTTGGCCCCTGGGGAAGTGTGGGGCAGGGTCCCCTGCAGCTGGAGGAGGGGCAAAGTCCCTTACCTGGCCACCTGGATGGCTCCAGGTGAGTCTGGGCTCCGGGTAGCCGCGGGCGGAGCAGATGAGCTCCACCTCGTCTCCTTCCGTCCAGCTGCCCTCCACCTTGGGCTCCAGCTCCTTCGCCCTTAACTCTGGCGACCCTGTGGGTGATGGGGACCAGGACAAAGTGAGCAGGGTCCACACAGAGGAAGGGACAGGCAGGAGAGAGCAGAAAGGACCGAGGAAGCGGGCCGCACAGAAGGCCTGGCCTTCTTGGCCCCCAACCTGCCACCATCCGCACCCACAGCCATCCTGCACCCGAACCTTGGACCAGCAGCCTGAAGCTCTGGGTGCGGCTGAGGAGGGGGACGCCGGGCACCGAGGCCTCACACACGTAGGTGCCAGCGGAATCGAAGGTGAAGGGGCCGAGCGACAGCGTGGGTCCGTCCCCCAGAGGGACAGCGTCCTGGAGGGGATGGGAAGAAGGGGGACAGGGCGTGAGATCTGTGGGTGCACGAGGGGTGCGGTGGGGGTTGGCGGGGCTGCCCTCCTTCCCACCTTGGTCCACCGCAGAGCGGGCGTGGGCCGGGCCTGTGCGGAGCAGGTCACGGCCGTGCGGCTGCTGTTCAGAAACACGGAGAGCTCCTTCCCTGCGCTGAGCTCCAGGGGGTCCAGGTCTGTGGGAAGGGACAGGGTGTCAGCTTCCCCAGCCCCGTGCCGGGGGGCTCTCCAGGACTGGCAAACATCAGGGGACAACTGTCCATCCGAGGAAGTCTCCACGCCCACGCTCCCATCCAGGACCTGGAGCCCAAACCCAGTGTCTAACTCCAGGCCACAGGCCCAGCGCCCGCCTCCCTGGCAGAGCAGCCCAGGTTAATGGGTAACCCGGGCGGAGTGAGCCTTCCTGTGATTTACCATCCAAACCCTCTTTATTTCCTTCTTGAGGCGCTGGGGATAGAACCCAGGGCCTCGCTGCTTGGGGAGCTCTCTGCCGCTGAGCCACCCCAGCCTCCACCCAGACCTTGGGCTTCTGCCCAAACCTTTGCCTTTTCCCCGTCTCGCTGCACCCATTGTTTCTCTTTTCTCTTTCTGTCTTGGGGATCCAACCCAGGGGTGCTCTATCACTGAGCTATCCCCCCAGCCCTTTTTTATTTTTGAGACAGGGTTCTTGCTAAATTGCCCAGACTGGGCTGGCACTTGCGACCCTCCTGCTTTAGCCTTCTGGGTAGCTGGGATTACAGGCACGCACCCCTGCATCTGGCTTTTTCTTTTTTGTTTTGAAGACAGGGTCTCACGATGTAGCCCAGGCTAGCCTCCAACTCATGGGGATCCTTCTGTCTCAGCCTCCTGAGGGCTGGGATTACAGGTGTGCACTGACACGCCTGGCTCTGGCTATTTCTTTTAAGACTTTATTTGCTCTGCCTTCGAGATGGCTCCTCTGCTTCTTCCCCCCATCGCTGACCCCCTGATCTAGGAGTCTGACTACTCTCTTATCTTCCACCCTCACTCACCTCCTCAGTCCACCTTCCAGGGAGCAGCTCTCCCCTCTGCTTAAAAACTGGGCAGCGGCTCCCGAGTACCTTTAGCGTCAGGGCCGAGTCCTCTAGCAGCCTGTAAGCCCTGCCTGGCCTGGCGCTGCCCACCTGTTGGACATCTCTTGCTTCCCGTCTTGGCTGAGTCCCAGCAAACATTTGCGCTTTCTCCATGAGCCAAGCAGGGTGCTGCCCCAGGGCCTCTGCACCTGCTCACCCGGCCCGCAGCCTCCCTGCTCCCTTCTCCTCCTGGCCGCTCTCACAGAGGCCTCCTTGACCCCCGCTGTGCACAGCTCTCCCTCCCCACCCTGCAAGATTGATTCCCCCAGCTGCCGGGAGCTGGGGCAGCTGCCAGCCCGCAGCTGTCGTCCCTCCCTGGGAACTGCCTCAGCTGCACGGCCCCTCAGCCCAACTGGGGACAGCGGGAAGGGCTGTTCCAGCATCCGAGTCCCCCAGGACCGACCAAGCCTCCTTCAGTCTTCGGTGAGCTTCTCCCCTGCCCACCCTTGCTCTGCCGCCTCCCCAGTCCCAGGAGTGGGGCCCCAAGGGGCTCCCTGAGAGTGCTCTACTCTCAGGCCTCCACAGCAGGGCCTGCCTCTGGGCTACAGGCTGTGCCAGGCCCGTCCCTCAGCTCAGTGTGCAGCTCGCTTAGCAGTTACCATCTGGCTGCCCCTGGTTGTGGAGAGGAGATGGGCCTGTCTTTTCACAGCTGTGTCCCCAGTTCCGGCTACAGGATCTACCTGTTTGGAGTGCTAGGGAGGATGTGGAGGAGGAGGAGAAGGAGGAGGAACATTTGCCCTGCAAATCCAACTGGAAGGCTTCTTAGAAAGTCGGGATCCACTAGCCACGTGCTGCCATGCCCCCGATACGCCTGATATTTGGGAGGCTGAGGCAGGAGAATCACCCAAGTTCAATGCCACCTGGGTCACCTATCATGGCCTTGTTTCAAGTAATCCCAGCACTCGGGAGGCTGAGGCAGGAGGACCGCTGCAAGTTCAAGGCCAGCCTGAGCTACACAGTGAGTCCAGGCCAGCCTGAACTGCATAGCAAGACCCCGTCTCAAAAAAGAAAAAAAAAAAAAATTAAAACTAAAAATAAATAAAAAGGGCTAGGGCTGTGGCTCAGTGGCAGAGCACTTGCCTAGTATGCATGAGGCCCTGGGTTCCACGCCAGTACTGCCACAAAGAAAAAAAAGAAGAGGAAGGAGATGGGGAGGGGAAGGAGAAGAGGGAAGGGGAGAGGGGAAGGAGGGGAAGGGGAAGGGGACGGGGAGAAGCACAGGAGACCAGCTACAAATGCACGGCTGCGAGGAGGAGCTGAGGGAGGGAGGAGTGAGAAGAGGAGCTGGGGGCTGAGCTCGGTGCAGAAGGGAGGGCCCAGCCTGGCGGTGTTGCCCAGGTGTGCCCTGGGGGCCGTGGAGAGGGACCTGGGCTTCATGGGCAGCCATGGCGGGTGCTAGGCAGGGCGGCTCAGGAAAGGCCCCTGGAGGGCTTGCTGGGGTCCAAGACCGTGGGGCAGGGAGCAGGGGCGAGAGGAGCGGGCAGGCACACAGCAAAGCAAAGCAGCATAGGGGGTGGCACACTGGCAACCGTGGGCCGGGGCACAGACGGTAGCTGGGGTGCCGCGGGCAGGGCCCTGCCTGCCCCGCAGGACACTCACAGGCCACTTTCAGCCCCAGCGTCTGGTTCAGCAGCACGTCCTCCGCGGCATCGAAGTCCTCCACTCGGCAGCCATAGGTCCCACTCTGGCTCCGGTTGATACCCTCCAGGGTCAGCTTCCCCTCCAAGCTTGTGCTCAGCACTTCCTCCCGCTTGTCCTGGGACCAGGGGTGACAAGCCAGGCTCAGGTGCCACCCTGGCCCAGGGGGGTTACGCTAAGTCAGGGGACACTGGGTCAGGGCCCAGCCGCTCAAATCAGAGCTCAGGGGTCACCCAGCTTGGGCACCGTGCTCAGCCAGGACTCTAAAGCCAGGGTCAGAGGTCTTTTAGCTCACGGGTCAGCACCCCTGGCCGAGACTACCCAGACCCCGGGGCCTGGGGTTGGCGCACGGTGGAGCACATGCCCAGCACTATTGAGGCCCTGGGTTCCATCCTTACAAGGCCAAAAAATTAGCAGTTGGCGTCACTGTGTTGCAGAGGCGAGGGCTGGGGAGGGACCAGGGTGTGTCACCTGCAGGCGGAAAAACATGTACTCCGGGTTGGGGCTGCCGTCACCCTCGCAGAGCAGCTGAACAGAGTCACCCTCGCGCACCCAGCCCTCCGTGGTGGACGGGCTGCCCATCCAGAGACGCACGTGTTCCGTGGGATCTGCGGGAAGGGCAGGAAATGGGGGGGGCGGGGTGTCACAATCGGGGAGGGGCGGAGCATGGCTAAGAGAGCCAGGTCAGCCCTGCGTGGCTCGTAAGGCTGCGGGGGTGGGGGGTTGGGGGGTGTCAAAGGTTAGGGGTCATGTTTCAAGGCTCAGCTTCATGACCATTCTGAGAGTGGGCACCAGAGGTCAGAGCTGAGGGGAGAGGGGTCAAGAGTCAGAGGTCAGGGAGGGTCAGCGCCTTGGGGGTGTCGGGCCTCGGGGAGGCCTGGCTCCGGCCAGGGGTGGCAGCCCTGGGCACTCACAGTGCACGGTGAGGTTGAAGGCGGGGCTGTCCAGGCGGCCGTGGTGGTCCCCGGGCAGGCTGTACTGAGCAGCGCAGTGGAAGCTGGCGTTGCGGTCGGCCTTGTGGACCCGCAGGTAGAGGGTGCTGGAGAGGGACTGCAGGCCTGAGGCCTCCCGGACCACGCGGGTGGTCATGTATCCGTCTTGGAGAAAGGCAGAGGCATCAGTCAGGCCCCGGCGCCACCCACCCGAGTCCAGGTCTTGCTGGCTGAGGAGCTCACCTTCGTTCACCTCCGTGGGCACCTCCAGGAGCCGCCCGTTCCGGTACCAGCTGATCTGCGGGGCCGGGTTCCCATTCCGGCTGCTGCAGGTGGCGATCTGGGGTATACACGGGCGTGGCCCTGGGCTGAGAGCCAGGTCCCTGACATCTGGGTTCCCCCTTCCCTCAGAGGCAGATCAGCCTCTTCCCGGGAGCAGAAGTCAGGCCCCCAGTCCCCCTTCCTCAGACTAAGAGGACCAGGACGCCTCTGCCCCAGCCCCACCTCCGGGCCCTGGACTCAAGATCGGTCCCCAAGGTACCTGTGGGGCATTGTCCATCACGGACAGCGTCCCTTCATTGGGGAGCACCTCGGTGGCCTCTGGTTGGGCTACGGGGGATGATGTTCATGTCAGGAGCCCCTTCTCCACCTCCCCTGCCCTGCCCTTCTCAGGGACCCCTGGGGACACTCACCGAACACCCGGAGCCTCGTGGTGGCCTCAGCGGTGCCCGCGGCCCCAGCCGTCACCACGCACACGTAGTCCCGCTCATCGCCCACCTGGGCCTCGGCCAGCACCAGGCTCCCCTGGGCGTCCAGCTGGTAAGGGGGACTGCGGCCCCGAGGGTCGTGCACCATGGGGTGCAGCTCGGAGCCCTGCTGCTCAGCGGAGGCCAGGCGGCGGCGGCGGTGGTGGGCCCCGGAGCGCTCCACCTGGGGACGGCAGGGGCAGGGCCAGGCCTCAGGCCACTCCTCCATGCCCGACAGTCTGCTTCCCTCTGGCCTTTTCTTCCTGGTATCCCTTAGGTCTGTCTCTTCCTCCTGTTAGCTCTCTCACCCCTCTGTCCCTGTCCCTGCCACCTCCCATCCAGTCCCCCGTTCTTGACTTTTCCTCTCTCTCTTTTTAAAAAATTTTTATTTTTTAGGTAGGGTCTCCCTATGCAGTTCAGGCTGGCCTTGAGCTCACTTTGTAGCCCAGGCTAGTCTTGAACTCGCAATGATCCTCCTGCCTCAGCCTCCCGAGTGCTGGGATTACAGGCACGCGCCACCACACTCCGCTCCATGTCTTTGTCTCTGCAGCTCACTCTGTTTCCATGTCTCCCCCTCTGCCCAGTTTCTCATTTCCTCCTCTCTGTGGTCCCTTGGTGGCCTCTCTGCTAAGATCCAAATTCTGAAGGGGGACCTCGGTCGTTCTCCGCCCTGCCCAACACCTGTTCCTCCCCCTCACTGGGCCTCAAGCTCCCCGTCTGTAAAGTGGAAATGCAGCAGGATGATCTCTTCCTCTTCTGGGCCCCGTGGAGGGTGTGATGGGGGCGATGGCACACGCCTGGGCAACCTGTCCTTGCCAATCCCACACACCTCCTCCAAGCACTCACCAGGAACCACTCCAGCACGAAGTGCTCAGGCCTCTTCGAGGGGGTGCAACTCAGGGTGACCTGCTCCCCTCGCATCACCTCCACCAGAGGGGGCACAGACACGTGCATCTCGGCCTGGACACCTGGGGACAGCAACTGAGCTGCTTCCCACTGCTGCTGACAGGACAGTCCTCCAGGTCCAGCCTCCTCCTCTCCGTCTCTCATCTCTGCACACCCCACGCCCCCAGCCGCATCCCATCTCTCCCTTGCACGGCCAGGCTCCCCTGGGGCTGCGCAGGACCCTGGAGGCCTTGGCTCAGTGTCCCGGGGTGGGCCTGCTGTGTTTGCCCCTGCTTCTCCCACTGGAGCGAACACCTCTGCAGGCCGGGCCAGGCCGGTCCTCCCCTCCCTCAGCACCCAGGGCAGGCTGGCTCCCTCTGTCCTGGTCCCCTGGGCTCCGTCTCTGTCCCTCTGTCTGTCTCCATCTCTCCTGGCTCCTGGGACTGCCCTGCTCACTCATGCGCGGGGGGCCTGGGGTGTGGGGTGTGGGCTGCGGCTGGGCCTGGAGCTGAGGGCTGAGGAGGGAAGGGAGTGTGGGGCGGAGAGGGGGGACAGGGCTGGGCAGGTTTCAGGAATGTGGGAGGGAAAGGCTGGCTGAGACCTGCCCTGGCTGGTAGAGGAGACCCCTGGGCGCCCCCGGTCTCCCCTGTCTCTTTAATAGAGCCAGGAGGTAAGGTGAGTCACCCTGGCTGGGGACAGGGCTGAGCTAGGATTCCGGTCCTGGGGCAGGAGGGGCTTTGGACCGGGACTCCTCCGGCCTGAGAGTCTGGGTCCTGGCTCTTGGCAGACAGTAAACTCACCACACTCTACCCTCTGGGCACCACTCTCAGCTCTTAGAACCTCCCTTCCCTGTCCTGCCCCGCCCTGCCCAGCCAGGCCTGGGGTGGGTACCCATTATTTACCAGGCTCTGGATTCCTGGCCACTCTCTCCCGGCCCCAGGGGAGCGGCCCAGGGGCCAGGCTGGTGCCTGGCTGGGTCTGAGCCGCGGGCAGCGGGAACAGGCAGGGATGCGCTCTCTTCCCCGGTCCCTTTGAGCCCCTGTCCCTGTCCGCAGGGCCCCTCCTGCCACCACCACGCAGGTGTGTGCGCTGTGGGCCCGGCGGGGGGCACTGTCACTCGGAAACACTCGGTCCCACGCTCACTGCCCGGGCTGGGAGTCCGGCCCCTCGCGAGGGAGGTGGGTTCTCTATGGAGTCCGGACTCCGAATGTCGGCTGGGGAACTCTCACGCTGCAGGAATCACGGGTTTGGCCCCGCAGCGTGGCACACGCTCCCTCAAAGCTTGAGGACCTGGGAGGGGTCAGCCCCGGGTTTTGGTCTCATGTGTCCTAGGGGAAGCCACTTGGGGACCTGGACTCGTGGGTCTGAGAAAGCAGGGGCGGTGGGCCCAGATTCCAGCGTCCTGCGTGGGAAAGGGGCAAGCGGGTCGGGTCCCGCCTGGTCCACGCCGCCGTGTCCCCAGCTCTCCCCGTCCGCCCTCGCTGGGGTCCCCGCCCCGGCCTCCTGGGGAGGGTGGAAGCCCCTTCTCCCGCTGCCCTCTCGGCTCCCCGGGGCCGCCCGCGTCCCGCCCCGCTGGGCCCGC